AGACGGCGAAGGGCGCCGAAGAAATCTTGCGTCGGCGGTTAATGAGGTTTCGCCATTGCAGGACCCGGAGAGGGAGAGAGAGGGGAGGGAGGGAGAGGAGGAGAGAGAGAGAGGAGGGGGAGGAGGGAGGGGAGGGGAGGGGAGGGGAGGAGGAGGAGGGAGGGGAGGGAGGGAGGGGAGGGGGAGGGGATGGGAGGGATGGGAGAGAGGGGAAGAGGGGAAGGGGGAGTGGAGGGGGATGGGAGGGAGGGAAGGGGAGGAAGAGGAGGGAGGAGGGTAGAGGAGGGAAGGAGGAGGGAGGGGGGAGAGAGGGGAGAAGGGGAGAGGGGATGGGAGGGAGGGAAGGGGGAGGGAGGAGGAGGAGGGTAGGGGGGGAGAGAGGGGAGAGAGGAGGGAGGGAGAGAGGGAGGGTAAAAGAGGGGAGAGAAAGGGGAGAGGAGGAGGTGGGAGGAGGGAGGTTAAGAGAAGGAAGAGGGTTGTGTGTACGTGTGTATTCGTGTGTGTCTGTGTTCGTGTATGAGTGGGCAGGATTCATACCGAACGAAATGTAACTAAAAACAACAAAGACGAACAAGGAGACACGCGAATATGCGAACGGCCTTTCCTCAACAAACAATTACAGAGGTACAGATAGTCAGATGGATTGATAATTCAATAGATAAACAGAGACACACAATCTCAAACACACATACATATATATATATATATATATATATATATATATATATATATATATATATATATATATATATATATATATATATATATATATATATATATATATATATATATATATATATATATATATATATATATATATATATATATGTGTGTGTGTGTGTGTGTGTGTGTGTGTGTGTGTGTGTGTGTGTGTGTGTGTGTGTGTGTTGTGTGTGTGTGTGTGTGTGTGTGTGTGTGTGTGTGTGCGCGAGCGCGCGCGTGTGTGTGCCTGTAAGTGTGCGCATGTGTGTGCGAATAATATACATACATACAGACAGGCAGACAGACTGCCCATCCAACCGAACACAAAGCCCCCTGGCCATCCCCGCAGCGGAACAGGACGCGAGACGCTACACAGACACAGGAGAACAGGCGAAGTTAAGATGCTAAGGAGAAAGGCCCTCTCTCCCCGCCCGTTTCAATGGGCTGATGAAGAGAAGAGAAACGCCTGTTGATTTTCTGTCCTGCTCTCTCTTTTGATTCTTTCCTCTATCTCGCTGTGTATCTATCTATTTCTGTCTATCTATCTTGATCTCTCTCTCTCTCTGTCTATCTATCTCGTTCTCTCTCTCTCTATCTTTCTATCTATCTCACTCTTTCTATCGACAGAGAGAGAGATAGAGAGGGGAGATACGGTAGACAGAAAAAGAGAAGGGCAGAGAGAAAGAGAGAGAGAGAGAGAGAGAAGCGGGGGGGGGGAGAGAGAGAGAGAGAGAGAGAGAGAGAGAGAGAGAGAGAGAGAGAGAGAACATGAAACATAACTACATTGACTGGTATACACATAATCAGTCGAAGAGCTCGTATCAAAGGACAGCAAAGGAAGACGGAATGATAGGAGACAGATAGGAAGACGAAAAAAAAGGAGCATAGAGGATAAGGAGAAGAAAAACTCGAACAAGAAGCAAAAAAAGAGAATGGAAGAGGACGCATAAGAACAGATAAGAGATAAAAAGACACAGGAACAAGATAACGCACAGGATACAGGAAGATCAAGCACCAGCTCATTCACTCGCACCACATATCACTTACAAATTCGAAACCCCAAGAGTCACCGGTGATATAAAGTGTCGAACGTGTGCTTGCAGAAGAGGCTTAGAATGCATGATCCTTCTACAGTAAGTAGAGCGACGGTAGTTCGGCCCACGAACCACTTTTGGTCTTTAACAACTGGCCAGTTTGTTGGGTGATTAATCATCGGGATTATTCGAAAAGGGGATTTTTTAGGTGTTGTTAGGCGCTCATTGCTGTGTTGCCTGAAGCCCAGAGAACAGCTGATTAAAAGTGAACAGTGTTTTTTAGATAGAGTATTAGGTTTTATGTATATTCCGTGTATATCGGGGTGATAAATGACATGTCGGTCGTCGTAGGTCAGTATCCAGGAAGGGGGAAGGCTCGATCAGTAGCAGCTCGAGGTGTCATGGCTTCTGGTTCTATTTAAAAAAAAAAAAAAAAAAAAAAGGTTTTATTTTGATGACGTCACAAAAGTTAAATGAATTCGAATATGGTCGATCATTTGGTCTCTTCAGTTTTCAAAAAGGATGGAAAATAATTTTAATGGTTATATTTCCATTGGACAATCATCAAAACAGACAGCGTAACACCTCCTCGAGTTGCTTCTGATCTAGCCTTTCCTATCCAGGAAGGAAAAGAAAGTATAATCTCTGTGAATGGCGAGATTCTTAAACACTGAAAACTGATCCCAGTGTTTAAGATAACTGTTTCACTTTATTGCTACCAATTGATATCATTTTCAAGGATATCGTTCTCGTATTCGTATTCATGTGATCACTGTTATTTGAAATCTGTTTACGTACAGACATCTGAAACATTTAGATTCAGAACATAGGGACTAGGTATGCTAAGGCTTTACTGTCGACCTGTTTTTGAAATAAGGGTCTTATATATATATATATATATATATATATATATATATATATATATATATATATATATATATATATATATGCAGACATGTATATGCATATACATATACATACATATATATATATATATATATATATATATATATATATATATATATATATATATATATATATATATATATATATATATATATATATATGTATATATACATATATATATATATATATATATATATATATATATATATATATATATATATAATATGTATATATAATATATATATATATATATATATATATATATATATATATATATATATATATATATATATATATATATATATATATATATATATATATGTATATATATATATATATATATATATATATATATGTGTATATCCTGTGTGTTTGCCTGTCCTACCTTATGATAGTAGTAACAATCACAATGATGAACCGCATTCATGTTGACAAATGTAGAAAAGGTATGAATGAGAATGGATATCTTCACAATACAAGAGATGTACTTGACCGGTTTCGATTCTACCTTCGTCAGAATTACATGTATTTCTGACGGAGGATGAATCGAAACCGGTCAAATGCATCTCTTGTATTGTGAAGATATCCATTTCTCATTTATACCTTTTCTAAATCATAATGATGATAATGTTAGTAAAATGCAGCAATGATAATCCTACCAATGCTCATAATGGCAGTTCAAATTGTTACTATGCTTCGGGCGTCCATACATTCACTTTATATATATATATATATATATTATATATATATATATATATATATATAATTACTTTGACGTTATTCAACCTGATACTTTAACAACGGCGTCTGAAGATATATTCCATGTGACTGAGGAGTTGACGTTGTTTCACAAAGATTTGAATAGGGAGACATTTGACAATATAATTATTAAAGAAGACCAAATACACACACACACATATACACATACACACACACACACACACACACACACACACACACACACACACACACACACACACACACACACACACACACATATAAACACATACACATACACATACATAATCACACACATACATACATAACTGGAATAACTGGGATTCTCATTCTGACCTGTTACTATCATAATCATTAATACTATGATCCTTATTAAAATCAATATCTGTATTATCTGTATTGCTATTGTCGTTGTTTTATCATTATCATCATATCTCCTCTTCGTGACGAGTACAGGTTAAAAAAAAAAAACGTACTAAAGGAAGATGAAGAAGTGAGGGAATAAATAGGTAAAAGAGGGAGAGGGAGAAAGGGAGGAGATTGGGGCAGAAGTAATGCTGATAATGATGATAATGATAACAATGATGATGATTAAGGATATAAAGATACTGATAATAATAATAATGACAATAAAAGTAATAATGATAATAATACAATTAATGATAATAATAACTAATATTATTTAAGCTTATATTATGTTAGCATTATTAGCATCAACATTATTATTATTATCCCTATCATTGCTATTATTATTATTATTATCATTATCAATACCATTGTTATTACAATAATGATAATGATAGTAATAATATTATTAGTTCCAGTAATAACATTGACAGATGTGGAGATGATAATGATAACAAATGATAATAATAATCATAATCATTATTATTATTATTATTATTATTATTATTATTATTATTATTATTATATTATCATTACCATTATTAGTATCATTATTGTTATTATCATCATTATCATCAGTATCTTTAATATTATTATTATGATTATTATCATCATCATCATTATCATTATGATTATAGCTATTAGGATCATCATGATTATAATGACAAAATAATGATGATATCAATAATAGTAATAGTAATATTGATAAAAAAAATCAATAATGATAACATTAACTAAAATGATAATAATAATAGTAATAAAGGTAATACTAATCATGATAAAAATCATAATGATAATAATGATCATAATAACAGTGATAATGTAAATGATGAAGTATAATGATGATAATTATGATAGCAATGATAATAAACGGTAATGAAAATATTGATAATGACACCAATAATAGTAGTGATCGTAATGATAATAGTAATGATAATGATATCAGTCATGATGATAATAATGATAATAACAACAATAATAAAATTAATATCAATAATGACAATGATAATGATGATAACGATAATAGTAATAGTAATGATGATAATGATAATAACAATAATAACAACAATGATAACAATTATAATTGTAATAACATCAATGATAAAAAGAATGGAATGGTCATCTCCATCATAATGGTAATAATTGTAGTGATAATAGTAATAAAAACAATTATGATAATGATAACAGAATTAAGAGAAACATTGTTGACAAAAA